ATTAACTTTTTTCCCCTTATGGAGAGAATTTCCTCTCCCCCCCCCCTCTCCTAAAATATTGTTTAATAAAAGCCAGAAACTAATACACATATCACCATCATCATACTCCATGCCGGTAAGTGTAGGCCGTCATGTTTCGCAATCTCACACGATCACCAGCAGCAAGGATCAAGTAAGCGTTGTTGTCTTGGTCCCATCCACGTGGTTAAGCAATCAAGATATGTTTTTGCCTACGCTCTCTCCATCACTCTTGCCAGTTGTTGACAAGTTCCTGAGTCAAAGATAATACAACCATGTGAATCAAAACATGCAGCAAGCAAGGATCACTAAACTGCACTGTTGCCGAGGACACCAATCGCAATTTTAAAGTTAACACACTGGCATGTGCTCTGAAGTTCTGCGTCTCGTCTGAATGATAAAGCACTGAGCTGAATTATATTTTAAACTGCAAATAAGTTTGACAGTTATAAAAGTGCATATATTTTTAGCGTCTGTTTGTCTCCCTGTCTGCATGTCTTTAATTATCCTTGCTGTCTAAATATACCTTTATCTGTGTCTGTCTGTCTGTCTGTCTGTCTGACGTGCGATTTTTATGTGCCTTAAACGAAGAGAGTTCCAGGAAGATGTCTTTATGTCTGAATATGCAAAGAAGTCTGAAAGAGATGCGTATGTCTTCGGATATTGAAAATCTGAACTAAATCATTATGTGACCCAATATGCACAGAGGTTTGAAAAACAAAATCTTTTTTTGTTATAACATAGTGTTGCAGTGGCTCTCAACCTTGCTATTGCGGCGACCCTTTAATGCAGTTCCCTCATGTTGCGGCAACCCTTTAATGTAGTTCCCTCATGTTGCGGCGACCCTTTAATGCAGTTCCCTCATGTTGCGGCGACCCTTTAATGCAGTTCCCTCATGTTGTGGCGACCCACAAACAATAATTTTCCTTCATAACTTTAACGAAAATGTGTTTTTCGATGGTCTTAGGCGACCCATGTGAAAGGGTCGTTCAACCCCAAAAAAGCGTCGCGACCCACAGTTTGAGAACGGCAGTGTTAAGGGGTCCGGTGGCGGACGGAGAAGGAGGACAAGAAGAATCTAATACCGCACCTCAACAAACATTTGCATTACACACGTATGACAAAATATTTTTAGAAATAAAGATAGTGTCAATTTGATTTTGCTGTAACATTCCCCGGCGATGAGCCGAGTTTCCTAATACATTATTGTATGTGGAAAACACAGCGCCCATGTGGTATATTATTTCTCTGAGCAACATTGGTGAATAATTATCCGTTTTCTTTCATTACCCACGTCTGGGTTTTCCACTGATCTCCGCATAACACAGTTCTATATTTGACCTGGATATCCATAACATTATGATATTGCCATTTATCTGGTTACAGTTGCCCTTGGACGTAATCTGTAAAGTACTTCCCTAACTTTGTTCTTCTCTTTCATATTTTCGTTCCGTTTCCTCCTCAGTCTTGTTCTCTTCTTCTTTTTTCTTCCCCACTCTTTCTCCATTCTTCTTCTTCTTCTTCTTCTTCTTCTTCTTCTTCTTCTTCTTCTTTTTCTTCTTCTTCTTCTTCTTCTTCTTCTTCTTCTTCTTCTTCTTCTTCTTCTTCTTCTTCCTTCTTCATTCTTCCTTCTTCTTTCTTCTTCTTCTTCTTCTTCTTCTTCTTCTTCTTCTTCTTCTTCTTCTTCTTCTTCTTCTTCTTCTTCTTCGTCCTCTTCTTCTTCTCCTTCGTCTTCTTCTTCTTCTTCTTCTTGAACGGTTGCAAATTCCGGTGGAATGTTCTGGTGCACTCCGACTTCAAAACAAAAACCCCAAACTAGTCGACTTCTACAATACGCAGGGAAGGAGGCATTTGATCTTTTCCTGTCCCCTCTTTTCCCACAATAGGACCCGGATCATTCACTAAACGCCATGCCCACGAACATGCTCCAGGACCTCGATACAGATTCAAGCCCAAGGTCGATCTTGGCTGATTCATGTGATCCAAGTGAGCCAGTAATTGTACACATTGCTGTGTTTTCACAGCCATGCCGGTGTGACCCCCTACACCGAGCGTGGCTTGGCTTGCTTTGCAAAAAAAAAAAAAAAATGTCCGTTTCCTAATGTTATTCTCCTGGCGTATGTGTGCCGTGTATCTCGCAGCACGGGCCACTCAGTCATTTTTTAAAACAGTCCGGCTCCGTGGGGATCTGAAGCCACAACCTCAAGGTGAGCGTAACCAGCATGTTCTTAGTACACTATTTTCCATAGCTCGGCGCACACGACGTCTGGAGGTGACATGTTCGATTCCCGGCACAGTAGCTATAGCTTTCGATTTTCATGTTGTCTAGTGTGCTCTTTTATCTTTCTACTTCTTTCTATGACTGCCCATCAATACATTGTCTGTTACTTTTTTATTATATAATATTTAACGGCCTCAAGGCTCCCCCACTTCCTTTCTGTTTATTTATGTGAATAATGTATGTACAAAATCGAACCTACCAATCGAATACTTTTTTTTAATGTTTGTGTACTCTAGACATAGCATTAAGGTATACTGTGTTCGTAAATTGTTGCTGTGCTTGTTATTCGATCCATGCTTCGTTAATATAATTTTCTGTAACCTATGGTGCAATTTCAATGGTTCGAAATGAATTCTGTCCGTATTCCATAGTTGTGGATTTCAAGTTGTACGATAGACATTTCCCAATAAGACACCTTTTTTTAGGTGCCTAGCTGACCATGTTCTTAGTACACTTGTTTCCATAACAAGGCGCACACGCCATCTGGAGGTGACAGGTTCGATTCCCGGCACGATAACTGTAGCTTTCGATTTTTATGTTATCTTGTGTTCTTCTATCTTTCTACTTCTTTCTATGAGTGCTGATCAATACATTTCGTTTACTTTATCAAGAAATTGCGTTCTGCCATCGGTTGACGTATGAAGGATTTGAAATGCGTTGTTCTTAGTTACCACGTGTCTGGATTTTATAAGATGGTGTGCTATTGCGGAAGGGTAATCTTTGCAGTGAGTATTCTGATTTTGAATATTATTTTGCATGGCTTTTCCCACCGATACTGGAATGTGCTCAATGTCTCGTTTCTCCGGGTGTCGATCAGTTCTGCCTACATAAGCAGCTTCACAGCTACATTTAAATTGGTAGATACAATTTGCTTTGGCGTACGTCGACACTGGTTGTTTCACCGAGGGCATTGGCACGGAGCTAGTTTTAGACCTGATAATAGGCAAAGCAGCGTAGAAAGTTGGGCTGACTACTGTTTTAAGCCAGTCGTATAGCCGTTTCATAACGTCATCGCCTCGAAAGGTGAGATGGATGTAGACTTGTTGTTTGGGGACTGACGTTTCTGTGGTAGTTGGTTTAGGAGGCTGGCAGTGGCACCTAATAAATCCAACTGGGTATACTTTCAATAATAACGTTTATTTGAGGGTTTCTATTTCAAACTGTAGCGAATTACTGGAGGAAATCTTTCTAGCGCGGTTGAATAGTGTTCGTACTAGGCCACATTTGTACTGGATGGGTGCAACATTATTAAAGTTCATGTACATTATAAAGGATTCACTTATCTGCTTCATTTATATAATTGTTACTGTAGTATGCACCTGGCGAGATGCAGTGAAATATGCTAGGCAATAAATTGAGAAATCTATTGTTTGTGTCTTCTTTGCTCAAATTTACAACGGGAAAACATTGCTTTAATATACGAATGTCTGCATTGGTCATTCTGAATATTGGGTGGCGTATACCAAACCTGACATCCCCATAGTCTGCCAGCGGCTTCGGGCGGAGGAGCACATTGGGGGGGATACTAGCCTTATCCTAGGAAGAGGAAATGCAACCTGAAAACTTTATGTTATGGCAGGGTAGACCAGGCGTGTTACCTTTCCTTTGGAGTAAACAAGGCAGGTCGAGAGAGAAATAAAAATGTATGGGCAACATATGGTTTCTACAATACTGCATATGCTTTGTGCTATGGAAAGGACACCCTTTAAATCACATGCTATATCTGTCGAAGTCATTTCTTAACGCGGGCAGGTCTTGCTAGTCACACTTGTTATCGCGTTAAGGCTGTTGCACCCCTGGGCTTGTTTTGTTTGCGTTCACAGGCTTTAAACCCGGCGGAAAGTCCTGGTTGTTACCCGATTTCTAGGCTTTGACTTTGTTCAAGGACCTGGATTTTGTGTGTGCCCCCGTGTGACAGGTCTGGCCTAACTGTTTGCAGACTTTTGGTTCCTTGCCTCTAGGACAGTTGCACTCTCCGAAAGAATCCCCTAATTAGTCAACTCCTACGACATGCTTGTTAGGGAGGCAGTGGGTCAGTTCTCGTTTTTCCCCAGCAGTGGGGTACCGGAACCAACACTGGGGTCTAGGCTTTCATTCAGGGGCCTTGGGTTCCAATTCCTGGTAAGATGGTCCTAATTGGTTGTTGTTGTTGTACTGGGTTGAATCAAAATCATAACATGAACATTTCATGATGGCTGCAGTTACCCCCTTGCACCCCCACACTTTTTATTATTCTTAGTATCAGGAATCCCCTTCAACCCTGACTCCCTTCCCCACGCTCCTGTCCGTGCCATCCCCTTTCATGTTCTACACAGCCTTTAAAAACAAAAAAGACTGGCAGCTATAGAAAAAAAAAAAAAAAATAATTCAAAACAATGTTTTCCCGTAATGAATTTAAATAATGTGGATACAAACAATACATTGAAGAGATACAGCGAAATATGCCTGGCAATCAATTGTGCAATGTATTGTTTGTATCCGCATTATTTAAATAAAATAATTGTTTATGTTGATTAACAATTTGATTTTATTATTTTAACCAGGCTGACAGTGTTACAACAGAAAGCGGTTACAAGCGGCGATCAGTAAAACCACATTCATAATTATGACGGTTAATCTGCCCTTGAAATCAGCAATTTTGTGTGGTGTCACTGCTGGGTCAAGGACGAGTAATGAAAAGTGGAATATACGATGTAACCGAATGATATCCGCTTTACGACATCAGCGTCGCCTCAGAAGTGCAACATCCCCTGGACATGGATATACGAAAAATTTAGTTTGCTTGGGCGTCGATACTAATTCAGACATAGTAATCAAAACCAAAGACAATTTTACTATATCCGGTGCCTACAGTACATCTGTAAATACGAACGCTCATGTGGCTAAATATGAGATTAAAATCAACAGCAATGCCAATTGTCAGACTAACACAATGAACACCACAGTTGTGACGACTTGTTTAGACTCCGACGCCTTCTTCAACGACACATCGTCGGCTGTATCTACTTCAGTCTGTAACGAGTCAGTTTACGGAAACACAACCTTTAACCCTCCATATAACCTGCCTCGTTTAAGCGTGGAGATACAAATAGCCTTATACGCTATAATCTTCGTCTTAGCATTTGTGGGAAACCTTTTAATTATCATCACTCTAATTCAGAATAAACGTATGAGGACAGTAACCAACGTTTTCCTGCTGAACTTGGCCATCAGCGACATGCTTCTGGCTCTTGTCTGTATGCCTTTTACCCTAGTGCCTGTCATACTTATGGATTTCATCTTTGGGAAATTCATGTGTGTTTTCATCAGGTATCTACAAGGTAAGAAACTGTGTGTTCTCGTTTGGTCATTTGGTTGTTTAATTTAATACGAGTGAGTTCTACATAAATTCCTAAACGGGCCTTCCCAAAAGCGCACTGTCCCCGTCTTCAGCAGTTTTGCGCAGGAATACATGTAATACTTGATGGAACCGCTATGGATGCTCCAATTTTACTTTGGAGGTCTGGGATAAATTCGGGACTTCGTCTTGGGGTTTGCTATGCAGAAACTCAACATTCTTGTAGTCCAAGGTAAGCTAAGGTAATCGGAGTTGCAACTTCATAACAAACGGGTACCGTTCCTGTGCAGACAAAAACCACACAGAATGTCCATCACTGTCGCTTATGAGAGCAACTGACACTGTTAAGACTGCAGTCTTAACAAATCCAATAGCAAACACGCTCATTAAATGCATAAGACAGCCGTCAGAAGTGAATACACAAACATTCCAAAGTTGTAGTCCCATTTGTGGTTTCAGGCAACAACCCGTCAGAGAAAAACAAAACAGATCTTTAGGGGCCTTTAGGGTTGTTGTTCATGGATGAAAGGTTGCAAACGTTTCTTCTGCGGTTCCATTGTTGCCGCTACATGACTGAGTGGACATATCGGTGGATCGCCAAGAAATGTTGCGTACTGGTTGCGAAATGATTGGTTTAAGAAGTCATGTAATGTCATATTTTTCAAACCCGTGGTTCGAGAATCGGCTGCGGTCCGTAGAAATCTACTGGCGGTCCACCATAAAACTATTCCCAGTCATGTAGAGGCTAAAGAAAACAACGCCACTGCCATGTCTAGGATTTTTTAAACTTAGGTAGTAGATGCCGCATTAGCTAAACATTTTAATTTGATAACACTGGATTTACTACATAAAATAACAATAATATAATAATAATAAAATAACAATAATACATTAACTGTCACCTACATCCGTATTAGATTCTGTTTCAAGCGTCAGTGTCAGGTTATGAAAACTTTATCATATTTTCCAGTTAACACTGCTGTAAAGGATATACAACTAACTTTAACTTCATGACAATATTTACATTTTTTAAAAGACATTCTGCCCCTTCAAAGGATCTTCAAGTTTCTGAAAGTTATAGTCCAAGATTTCATTATATTGTAGGAACATCTTTGAACCGGGCATCTGTTTTTGCCTTTGACTCAAAGCACAGCTATGTACACCATTTTTATTTTTCATTTATCTCCCAGATCAAGTTAAATGGGATTTACACGGCAAAGGGTTTTCCGCATTTCCGAGATCTCTTTTAGCTGGCGTTTTAATTTCCTGTTATAGTTTCAGAGTTAGGTTTTTATTTTATTGTTTAAAAGTTTATAAATGCAATGAGAAACGGAATCACGATCTCAGTTTCATGAAAGAAACTCCTAGCTTTCATTACAAGGGGTATAGTCAGTCCCAAAGGTCGGACTCAACTTCAAATATCTGTAACTCAGAAACTGACCGGTGTAAATTGTTAAAATTTGACACGTCATTTGCCAAAATCACGCCCAGTAAAGTGTAAACAAACATATAAAATTAAAAAAAAGTTTGCCTTGTTTGTGGTATATATATATATATATATATATATATATATATATATATATATATATATATATATATATATATATATATATAAAACAGCAAATAAACAGACACCGACATAAAATTAGCATGTTTACAGTGAATGTATTGACGCGAAGTTGGCAAAACATTAAATTGCACGCCTTCTGGGGGAAATCCGTTTGAAAAACTAAGGTGCACTTATTTCAAATAGTGAAGTGGATGCGTCATATACTGTCACAATGCTTGTTGATTGGCTCATTAGAAGCAAACGATTTGTGTCAATTACTATATATTATTTTGTTAAAGGTACACAAATTATTAGTCCGACCAAAATTAACGAAATTCTACGTTTTAAGAAAACAGCAGCACTTGTGAAACTGTAAATTATGAAGTCATAAAAACGTGGAAAAGCTAAGACCACATGCAACAATTCCAGTTGATCCGTACACGAGTTTTCGAGTTTTTTATTTATTAATGTTTGAGGACACGATTTTTGAAACGGATTATAGAGGTCAGACACTGCACAAAAGTTACTATAGAAAAAAAGTTGCCGAGAGCATCACTGGAATCAATGGATAACAAGGTAAATAACAGAGCGGAGACGCACTCTTTCTTCCAGCCGGGAAATTCATATCAAAGACTGAAGCCATCATTCACCCATCATCATGATCGTCTTCCTTCTCTTCCCTTTCTCACCATCGCCACCAATACTACCACAAGCTGTAACATCATCAGCAATGATCTGTAGCATGATCTTTGGCAAAATACTGCTTCCAGCCCAGTAGTGTTATTTAAATGGCTTTTGTCGCGGCTGATGTTATAAGCTCCTTGATTGTACAGGGTCCCAGTCCATATCTAGACGGAGTGGCTTTTGTCGCGGCTGATGTTATAAACACCTTGATTGTACAGGGTCCCAGTCCATATCTAGACGGAGTGGCTTTTGTCGCGGCTGATGTTATAAACACCTTGATTGTACAGGGTCCCAGTCCATATCTAGACGGAGTGGCTTTTGTCGCGGCTGATGTTATAAACTTCTTGACTGTACAGGGTCCCAGTCCATACCTAGACGGAGTGGCTTTTGTCGCGGCTGATGTTATAAACTCCTTGATTGTACAGGGTCCCAGTCCATACCTAGATGGAGTGGCTTTTGTCGCGGCTGATGTTATAAACTCCTTGATTGTACAGGGTCCCAGTCCATACCTAGACGGAGTGGCTTTTGTCGCGGCTGATGTTATAAACACCTTGATTGTACAGGGTCCCAGTCCATATCTAGACGGAGTGGCTTTTGTCGCGGCTGATGTTATAAACACCTTGATTGTACAGGGTCCCAGTCCATATCTAGACGGAGTGGCTTTTGTCGCGGCTGATGTTATAAACTTCTTGACTGTACAGGGTCCCAGTCCATACCTAGACGGAGTGGCTTTTGTCGCGGCTGATGTTATAAACTCCTTGATTGTACAGGGTCCCAGTCCATACCTAGATGGAGTGGCTTTTGTCGCGGCTGATGTTATAAACTCCTTGATTGTACAGGGTCCCAGTCCATACCTAGACGGAGTGGCTTTTGTCGCGGCTGATGTTATAAACTCCTTGATTGTACAGGGTCCCAGTCCATATCTAGACGGAGTGGCTTTTGTCGCGGCTGATGTTATAAACTCCTTGATTGTGCGGGGTTCCAGTTCATATCTAGACGGAGTGGCTTTTGTCGCGTCTTATGTTATAAACACCGAAATTGTGCGGGGTTCCAGTCCATATCTAGACGGAGTGGCTTTTGTCGCGGCTATGTTATAAACTCCTTGATTGTACAGGGTTCCAGTCCATACCTAGACGGAGTGGCTTTTGTCGCGGCTGATGTTATAAACTCCTTGACTGCACAGGGTTCTAGTCCATACCTAGGCGGAGTGGCTTTTGTCGCTGCTAATTTTATAAACTCCTTGATTGTACAGGGTCCCAGTCCATATCTAGACGGTGTAGCTTTTGTCGCAGGTGATATTATAAACTCCTTGGTTGTACAGGATCCCAGTCCATACCTAGACGGAGTGGCTTTTGTCGCGGCTGATGTTATAAACTCCTTGATTGTACAGGGTTCTAGTCCATACCTAGGCGGAGTGGCTTTTGTCGCGGCTGATGTTATAAACTCCTTGATTGTACAGGGTTGCAGTCCATACCTAGGCGGAGTGGCTTTTGTCGCGGCTGATGTTATAAACTCCTTGGTTGTACAGGGTTCCAGTCCATACCTAGGCAGCGTGTTATAATTAACCGGGCTCTCAGATTAACTCGGCATATCCCCGTGTGGGTTCCGGGACCCTATTGTGGGGAATACAAGACTAGTCCCACCGCCTCACCAAATGCATGTCGTAACAGTCGACTGATTAGGAGCTTCCTTCAAAGTCGGAGTACATCTGAGAGGCAAGGAACCAACAGTCTGCAGACACATGAGTCAGATAGGAAAAACGGATGTACACGCAATACTCTGGTTCTGGGACAGGACTAAAGTCCAGAAGTGGACGAACACCCAGAACTTTCAGGCGGACTTTACAGCTGGTGAACAAGAAGAAGAAGAACCCGGCATAAACTGCAATTATTCGGGAACGTAAAGACGGACGGCGTGATGGTAATCACACCACTCACCTTCAATATTAACGACGTGGGAAGGGGGGGGGGGGGGGGGAGCTTTTTTACTGTTACTTTACTTGGTGTTTCTTTCGATACATTAAATCATCCTGACACCTGCAGTATGAATAGTTGAGACCCGTATGTGATGAAATGGGAGTCTTGGTGAAAGTTTGTTGAGCTTTTAAAGAATGGAATAAATCTGGTACATTATTTTCCTAAGACTTGTTAGTCCACAAAGGTGTTATATTACCGCCTACTTTCCTCGTACGGCGCGACCCTAAATTGCCTTTCTGCCGGGGTAGTAGTAGTAGTAGCAGCAGCAACAGTAGTAGCAGCAGTAGTAGTAATAGTAGCAGCAGCAGCAGATGTAGTTGTAGTAGCAGTAGTAGTAGTAGTAGTAGTAGTAGTAGTAGTAGTAGTAGTAGTAGTAGTAGTAGTAGTAGTAGTAGTAGTAGTAGTTGTAGCAGCAGAAGTAGTAGCAGCAGCAGTAGTAGTAGCAGCAACAGCAGTAGTAGTAGCAGCAGCAGCAGCAGTAGTATTAGTAGTAGCAGCAGCAGCAGTAGTAGCAGCAGCAGTAGTAGTAGCAGCAGCAGTAATAGTAGTAGCAGCAGCAGTAGTAGTAGTAGTAGTAACAGCAGCATCAGTAGTAGCAGTAGTAGTAGTAGTAGTAGTAGTAGTAGTAGTAGTAGTAGCAGCAGTAGTAGTAGTAGCAGCAGTAGTAGTAGCAGCAGCAGTAGAAGTAGTAGCAGCAGCAGTAGTAGTAGCAGCAGTAGTAGTAGTAACAGCAGTAGTAGTAGCAGTAGCAGCAGCAGTAGTAGTAGTAGTTGTAATAGTAGTAGTAGTTGTAGTAATAGTAGTGGTGGTGGTGGTGATGGTAGTGATGGCAGTAAAACTTGTAATAGTAGTAGCTGCAGTTGATATTATAGTAAGTTTAGTTTTGGTTGCAGTTTTAACAGTGTAGGAGGAAAGGACGAGGATGAAGAAGAAATCAGACAGAAAAACGAAAGATGTAGAGGAGTTTCAGCAGCAGCAGCGGCAGCACTGTAACTGATGAAAATGCCGTTAGAAGCTTATCGAATCGTCTTAACCTTTTACGCTCGTGTGTTTTATGTATATGAGATCCAGGGGCAATTTGTTTGCCTGTTCTCTGTTGAAACTGGAGATTATGTCCCCTTTGTGGTTGCTTACCGGAAGAATGGTTGTCAGTTTGCATTCAGGTGGCAAGGAAGTGAAGGGGTGGGGGGTTTATCGATAAACTGGTAGCGTTATTGATTATTTGTGATTTGCAGACCTAGTGAATGTGGTCCATTTTGTACAGACAGTTGTTATTTTGAACGAGGTGGAGGAAGAATAAAAGTACACATACGATTGTCATTCTACAGGATGAGCTAAAACTATTACTCTTATCTTCTGGTTTTCACGGATCTGTAAGCAATGAGTGACTTTCAAAAGCGTTGCCTTTTATGCTGTGATATGAGCAGTTTGAAGCAATTAAGTCGCTCAGTATTGATGTGCATTGTAAATTTGATGAACTACTATTCCATTGATCTCATTTCCAGGTAAATAATGTTGTCATCTGGTTCATCATCATCATCATCGTCATCATAATCATCATCATCATCGTCATCATAATCATGTGTCAGGGCTCTTCTTCTTCTTCTTCTTCTTCTTCTTCTTCTTCTTCTTCTTCTTCTTCTTCTTCTTCTTCTTCTTCTTCTTCTTCTTCTTCTTCTTCTTCTTCTTCTTCTTCTTCTTCTTCTTCTTCTTCGCGTTCACCAGCTATACACTCTGGCGGAAAGTTCTGGTTGTTCGTCGACTTCTGAACTGCAGTCCTGCTCCAGAACCTGAGTGCTGCGTGTGCATCAGTTTTACAGATCTGATTCACTCGAGTGCAAACTGTTGGTTCCTTGCCTCTCAGGCAGACGCACTCCGACTTCAAAGGAAGCTCCCCTATTAGTCGACTCTTACGACATACTTAAGGGTAGGCAGTTGGTCACTTTTTGTTTTCCCTACAATGGGGCCCCGGAACCCACACGGGGAACAGCAAAAATTAAAACCATAGGATAAAGCAATGAAATATTAAGCAAACTCTTGAGTGGAAAACAAAGTGCAGTGAAAGAAAAGAGGCGCTAAAATACAATGGCATCAATATATCCATCTTCACCCTCTTTGGCGATTTATTAAGAGAGGGCAATTAGCGTTAACGTCATTCACTCCCTATTATTTTAGGGCGGTTGTCTGTGTTTTCTTTTCTACTAGTTACATTTGAGGCAATAGCTGTACCTTCCGTTACCAACTCATAGATTGATTTTTTTTACCTTTTTTTTTTTCACGACCTGTTACACTCGAGCGATTATGTTTGTCTACTTTCTTTAACTTTTACATTCCAGCGTTTATGTTTGCCTTTTTGTACCTGTTAGTATCGAGCGATTATGTTTGCCTTCTTTTACGATTTGTTACATTCGAGCGATTATGTTTGCCTTCTTTCACCACCTGTTACATTTTAGCGATTATTGTTGCCTTTTTTCAGCACCTGTTATATTCGAGCGATTATCTTTATACTCTTTCTCGACCTGTTACACTCTAACGATTGTGTTTGCCTTTTCTGTACGGCCACCTTGTTTTCCGCGACTTGGCTTCCAGACCCATTAATATTCCGTCCCATATCAAAATGCGTTGCCTGACAAACGAGCTTTCGGACATTTTCCC